GAACAGTTTTGGCCTTCACTTACATCATAACCATCTGGACTGTCTAAACAACAGAACAAAGCAGAGCAACCCTTCAAAGCAACAAGAATACTATGGTAATCAAGTATATCCACACTAAAAACTGATAATCTATCCTCCACACTTTCTTTTTCCTTAACTTTCTTCTCTATCTCTGTCTCAGGTCCTGTCACAACCCAAAAACAGGGAAACAAAACCAAAAAGCTAAAATAAAGAACACCACAAGAAGAAGAAGAAGAAGAAAGGAGAAAGTAAATTAACAGTTACCCTTTATCTGAAGAGCTGCATGAACTGTGTAACCTTTACACAATAGTCCTTTGAGAATCCAGAAACCCACATAGGTTGATGCATCAAGAACACAAACTGATGGCTTTCGTCGATCCATTTTCGTTGTCATTTTTTCTCAAAGTACTTTCTTTCTCCTTTGTATTTCTTCACTGGTAATCAGCTTCCTTATATAGAAGTTAAAAAGACAATTCGAAGGTGAGAGGAGTTTCTAAAGGAGGGCGAGTTCCCGCATGTGCATACCCAGAAATTTAAAATTACGGAGTCTAATTTAAAACATAAAACGTCTAAATAAAGTTATATATATTAATGTATCATACCAATAACCGACAAGTTAATGTATAATATTTTTAAAGAATAAATGAACATAACATTCAATAAATTGTTCATGTATTATGTGTATAACGTTCGTTTATTGAGTTAAATAAATGAGTATAAATAAAATTTTTATGTTTGTTTAATAAACGAGTAAACACAAACATAAATATATATATATTTGGTTTGTTTATATTCACGAACAAATTAAGTTGTTAACTCATTTATAAGTTCTTTAACTGACTCACTTATTTATTAAATATATTTTATTTTAAAAACATTAAAATATTTATTCATCTATTTTTTATTTAAACATATAATAATATCTTTTAATTTGAAATATTTAAAAGGATAAAGTCATCTTTACTACTTAAACTTAAATATATATGATTTTAATTTAAAATATTTAAAAGGATATAATTATCTTTAATATTCAAAGTTAAATAGGTAACAAATATCTTTTAATTTGACATATTCAAAAAATAATTATCCTATTAATATTCAAATTAAAAATATATTTTAATTTATTTAAATATTAAATTCATCAATGAAATTCAATCTTTTTCCAATGCTCAGTACATACTCAAACAATATTCGTCATGTACCTATATTGAAGACGTATCAGGCACTTGAGACGTCACTAAATTACCGTACCCATGCTACATAGCTAAAAATAAGTTGTCAAGACTCTTGGCAAAGCAAGGTTGGAGGATATGGGAGAACCCGGAATCTCTTGTCGCTAGGATTGTTGGCTACCGAGGCTCACTAGTTCTTGTAAGAAACTTGTTTGAAAGAAGTTCAAATACTCTTTTGTGGTACGGATCAGATAACATATATAACATTATATATGTGCAGGTGATTACCTTGATAAAGCATGTCGATTTACAAGAATTTATTAGTTCAAAAGATATAGCTTGAGAATTTAGTTTTTCTCATTGCCCTTTAAAATTAAAGGTCAATATCCTCCATTGGTGGCACTGCAAATTCATCTCCTTCATGGTAGAAGGTAGGGCCTAAGTCGTAGTCAGAGTCTGGTGGAAGTGAAAACTCATCTCCTTCATGGTAATAGTCAGAGCCTAAGTTGTAATCAGAGTCCGGTGGAAGTGCGAAATCCGCCTCTAGTGGCACTACAAATTCTTCTACTTCACGGTAGTAGTCAGTCTGGTGGAAGAGCAAAATCCGCCTCCGTTGGCACTACAAATTCTTCTACTTCACGGTAGTAGTCAGAGTCTGGTGGAAGAGCAAAATCCGCCTCCGTTGGCACTACGAATTCATCTCCTTCACCGTCGTAGTCAGGTCCTACATCGAAATCAAACTCAGGTGGAAGTGCAAAATCCGCCTCTAGTGGCTCTGTAAATTTGTCTCCGCGATGCTTGTAGTCGAAGTCTATGTCGTGGTCAGGTGCACCTAAATCCGCCACCGGTGTCACTGCAAATCCATCTTCATGTTTCTTGTGGATGGTATCTATGTCAAAATCCACCACTGATGGCACTGCTGGGGATATCTGTTTCTTCAACAGTGACTTTTGGTTCAAGTCTACATGCAACGGCGATGGTGATGGCTAAGATATGCAACATGAAGAACAAGAATTCCTTCAACTTTGCCATGAATAATTAACTTGTTTTTATAACAGAAGACGACCAATTGAGGAACTCTCTAGGATACATCCATCACCCTTTGGTAAGGAAACCCAATTGAATATGTCATATTTTCGGAGACGGTCTCCTGAAACTTTCAAGTCTCTGTCAGACTTAATTCATTGAAATTTTCAATCAAGGTCTCCAAACATATTCCTCCACTTATTAGAGCCTCCAACAAACTTACATCATCTGAATATATGCAAACTAGTTCACTACAGCATAAATACAATACCTTTGATACATCCACGTAACTTACCAGTACATAATTTAATATCTTACAATCAAATTTATCTAGTCTGTTAGTTTACAAATAATCAAAATGATTCTATAATTAATATACGCACTAAATATCACTATAAATACCTCAATCAAGATTGGAAAAGAGACAAAAATCCAAACAAATTTTTCATTATTTTCTCCATGATCAACTATTTTCAATATAAAAACATCGATAATCAGTTGTTCCTTCGTCTATTGCAGCTCTCCACCTAAACTAGAAAGGATGATTAGACAAACTTATTCCTCAGCATAATAATATAAAATTATATAATTACATGTGAATAATTGAATATATTAATAAAGCATGTTTACAAGAATTTATTAGTTGAAAAGATATAGGTTGAGAAGTTTCTTTTATTGCCCCTTTAAAATTAAAGGTGAATATCCGCCACTGCAAATTCATAATATTTCATGGTTGTATTCAAAGTCTTAAGTCGTAATCAGATTCTGGTGGGAGTGCAAATTCATCTTCTTCATGGTTGTAGTCAAGGCCTAAGTCGTAATCCACCTCCGGTGGCACCGCAAATTCATCTTCTTCATGGTTGTAGTCAAGGCCTGAGTCGTAATCCACCTCCGGTGGCACCGCAAATTCATCTCCTTCATGATAGTAGTCAAGGACTAAGTCGTAATCGGATTCCGGTGGCACTGCAAATTCATCTCCTTCATAGATGAAGTAAGGGCCATGGTCGTAATCAGGTTCCGGTGGAAGTTCAAAATTCGCCTCCGCTGGCATTGCAAATTCATATTCTATGTATGAGTTCATCATGTATTAAATTTTGGGTAGAAAAAGTGTGTTTGGAGATAATATGCATAATTAGAAATCTTTAAATAAATTGTTAATGAAGCGTGATAAATAAACAGTTACTCCAATATCTACATTTGCCTAGCTTAGCAATCGGAAATAGGTACTTGGTTGGTTGTCCTCTATTTTCGCCTCAAACGGTTGATAGTTTATTAATATGTTCCGTTAATATAGTTAGGGTAAACTATGTATTTAGTCACCCAATTATTTTGTTATGTTTTGATCAGTTAACTATTTTTTCAAAATCATACTTAAAGTTAAATTGAAAAAAGAAAAGAAAAGAAATTGAAGTAACATAAATATTCTACCATGGTTTAGTGCATAAAGGTTGGAGACACGTTATCGTTAAAGATTGACGTAAGATTTATCGTTAAAATATATAAATTTTAAAAAATATATTAATAAAATAAAGTATAAAAAATATTTAAAATTTAAAAAAAAATCGATTATATTTGAACACTCTTTCTATTCATCCCTGAATACCGAGTTATGAATACCATATCACACTAACTAAAGTGGAGTACGATTGGCTTATATATACGGCTAGCTTTATATTGGATATATATAATAACTTTGTTGCTTAAACATGTCGATGAATTAGATACTATATATAACATGAATTATTGCTAAGACAGATAAGATGGAACTGCTCCATGGTGTAAAATTAAGAGCAATTAAGAAGATTCAAAAGTATAAAACCACTAGCTAGACAGCTACAGCACAATGTTCCACTTACAAGGGTTAAGAGCTACTTTTCTTTAATCTTAGAATAACTAATTAAGAATTTATTCACTCGGAGTTGTACTGGCTGGCATGTTTTGCATCTTCTAAAATAAGCATTAAAATAGGGAATATGTATGTAGAAAATAGGGTTTTTACAATTTACTATAACCCTAAATTTCCATATTTGATATTTATGTTACATATAGTAGACATGATGATAGTACTGTCTGATAAATTACTTTTGCATATGATAAATTAGCTAAAATAGTACTATAAAGATATAGAATTTCGAGTCAATGTCGAGTGTTGACCCAAAGTTTAATTGAATAAATTAGTTGTATGATAAATTATTTCTTTGATTAGTGTAGGAAGTGGGAGATCCATCTAGTACAAAAGGAAAAGAAAAGCTACGTGAAAGCTAAGCAAAGAGTTTAATTTCGAGACTTTGGCTTTAAGAATGTCGGATGTTTCCATTCGCAGGTTAGTAGTTGGGATTGTCCGATAATACAATAGTATTTACTTTAGAGGGCATATGTATTCATAGGACCATTGTGTAATTGGTCTGTAAATCTATTAGTAAATTGTAATTATTTTGATTTATATCAAATTGTCATGAAGTTTCGATTTTGTATATATGTTTATAACTATTTTGATATTTTATATTATGACTTGAGTTTATATTGGAAAATAAAATAATTGAATTTTATAATTACTTCGACGATTCAATATGACATCTTAAACTTATCGTATTATAAATCGAATATAGGGTGTTTGATGAAGCATTTGCAAAATTTAAACCAAAGTAGTACTATCAAACAAAGAAGAGGTCCTTTAGCAAAAACTAAAATAAGAAAAGTTTTTATGAAATAAGGTACTGCGGATAATTTTTGAGGTGATAAATTTATATTCTGTACTTGATAAAGACGTGCAACAGCAGAGGACTCATCAAACATTGGTGACTGGCATTTATTTATAGGAAATTATATCTGAACATTTGATACTCGACGCATTACATGGGGTAAATACATCCTATTTGCATCGCTGTGCTACCAACATGCAACTTTATTTCTTTATTTAGTTATGGATTAATTTGTTTTCACATTTTAATATCTTGGAGACTTGGACATAGTAGCTAGGCAAGATTGGGAAGAAGGATTTTAGTTGTCACCGCCGCTGCCGTGACCCTCTCCATAGCCATGTCCCTCGCCGTAACCTTCACCATTGCCTGAACCCTCCCCATATCCTCCACCGTGGCCTGACCCCGACCCCGAACCACCTTGGCGTCCCCCTGACCCTGACCCTGCTCGAGACCCTGCATGAGACCCCGCATACGAACCTGCTTCAGAGCCTGCACCTGACCCTGAACCCGAGTTTGAATGGGATGAAGATGAAGAACTTGAACTGGAACCGGAACCGGAACCAGCCCCGGCTCCAGACCCTGAGCCACCACCTCCGAGACCAATGCCTACACCTGCTCCAATCCCCAATCCTATACCACCAAGATCAATACCCAATTCCTTTCTTGCAACCCTGCACTCCGACACAATAGTCGACATGGCAAGGAGAAAGGCGACTAAAGCTAGGGACTTAAATACACCCATTTAATTTTCTGTCACTCTAGATATAAACTTCTTGTAAGAATATGTTACTCTCCAATCTCTTCTTTTCTGTGTTTGATACATCACTGGCCGGGTAACCTAATTTATATAGCTGTTGATGTAAGGCCTTCGACAAATATAAAATAAAAATAGAACATAAACGTGTGCACTGTTGTCGAGTGTAGGTGGATAAAGTCTTTTTAAAGTTACATTTCCACCATAAACAATTATCAGATTATAAGATTTTGTTACAATATTGAAAATGGAAATAGCAATAGGAATTGTCGGGTGGATGAGAAAAGTAAGTAATTTCCCAGCAGGTCACCGACCCATTTGACATCCACTGAACATAGTGGTAGTGGACGTACGAACATCTACCGTGGACTGCAATTCATGTTTCTGGTACCTGCTTCAATTATTTGGCTATTGCTTTTTTTAGCAGCTAGGTAGCTCACCATATGCTTTTGTTTGGGGCAATAAGGTGAGTTGAAGAAGACAAGATAAAAAGGTGTAGAGATATAGCTCTTTCTTTAGTTACACTCAAAAAGGATTGATTGTAGAAGAAGACATATAAGAGCATGCGCATCCGACGCCATGATGGCAAGAGGTTACGTCAGAGATATCAATCATATCAAGGATTCCTTACCGTATAACGATCTTACATAACCAATTTGGATTTGGATACTATAAACACGCGTATATGTTTCTACTTTCGGACGACAACTATCATTCGTGACGGATTTAGATTTCGAATGGAGTAGATTTATGTAGTGAATCAAGTGGGTTAAAAAACATTTAAATTTTCTCTTCAAAACTTTTCTGCTAGTATGATTTGGGAAGATTGCGTGAGAATAGAATAGGGAATTTAGGAAAAAGATAGAAAATAGGATTAGAGAAGAAGAAAACTTCAATTCATTCAACATGGAAAACGATAAGATTCGGTACATGTATTATATATTTTCATGGTACCCTCTGAGTAAATTATAGTTGTAAAATATAGTATTATTATATTAACAACTCTAAGGGTGTGTTTGGTTGGGGGAATGTGATATTCCTATGGGAATGGAATCCACATTTCCCCGTTAAATTGGCCGGGAATATCATTTCCGGTAATTTTATATTACTAATAGTGGATTTTTTTGGGTATATTATCGGGAATGTCATTACCCCTTTCCTTAGGTATTGTTGGATTACCGGCATTTTGGACTAAAATGCCCTTAAATTTTTTTTTCTTTGAAAATATCATTATTCTGTCATTGGATAATAAAAATTCTACGAAGATTAAATTATAAATTTATCTTTAAACTATTTTAGATTTACAAATGTACTCTAACGGTAAGCGGATGATGAAGGTAGGTGGGCTGGGTGGATGATATCAACTTGCACCTCCAGGTGGGTTTCTCCGTGTTTGGGATTGGATGCTGCTCCTGGGTCCACTTCATCCGAGGCCTGTTCCATGGTTGAGACCTGATCCATTGTATCAGCTTTGCCCATTTTGTAGCTTTCAATTCCCAATTCTGATTGAATCCCTAATTACCCCAAATAAACTATGGAACGTATAAAGTTGGATTTAATTATAAATAGTCAAAAATAATTAAAAATTTGTGATAAATTAAAATGTCCGTATTGGTCCCGCGTACAATTTTTTATGCACTCGTTGTCTTCGCTAAAATAAGCATATCTTGAGTTTTCGATGTTCGATTAAGGCGTTTCAAAATACGTTGAAAAACCAATTGAAACCCGATTTAGTTTCAAGAAAATATCATGCCCTAAAAATGTTTGAATCTTGTCCAAAAATTTGTTGAAAGTCAACTGATGTATCGTGCTTCAAAATTTGCTTCAATGAAAATACTTGGGACTTGTTAAGAGTAGGCCGGACGAAAATTAAGTATTACAATCCTATTGAAGACTTATCTAATACAAAGAAATTGAGTGCGTATCCGAAGATAATTGTACTGTAAAATCAGTTCACACAGAGATTATTCGTGATTAGGACTTATTATTTTCGCTTTCATTATAAATATCGATCTCAACCATTCTAATATAAACATCTTATTTTATTTATATGTGATGCTTCAAGTATTTATCAAACAAACAAACAAAATTTGTCATTCCCTCAGCTCTGTTTCCCTCTTCCTATATCTCTCTATTTCCTCCACTCTCTATTTCTTCTCCTTCTCCACTTTCTCTCTCAGTACCATATTCATTCAGTTTTTGGGTTCTTAAATTTTCTTAAACCCTTACTATTTCTAAAGAAATTATGAGCTTCACTGGAATGAGATTTTCTTGGCTTCATGGCAAGGACATTAGTTTATGTTTAAAGTTTATCTTACACTTGGTCCATTAATACTCTTAAAACTGAGGGCTTTTTCTCATGTAATTTGAATCCTTTTTGAAGTTTTGATATTTGATTCATTTATTAGTATCACATTGTTGTGATAGAATTGTGAAGGAATTCAACTTCTTTTTCCGTAATATCATATGGGTTTAGATTGTAGTATCATTCATGCAACCAAAGCTGAAATACTATTTATTAGAAGTGTTTCAAGGGTTGTTTTCGGTAGTGGCTTGCTTTTGAAAACTTACAGAAAGCATGCAGTGAAATGTACGGTCGTATTTTCGGTTTCGTTATATTTATCGTTATTGCGGACACAACATATGTTACTTAAGTCATTGCGGGTGTCGCCGTCATACAATAACAGTATTCAAAACTTTTTTTTTTCATTTACGAGTTTCTTCGAGTTAAAACTTTTTTGATTTTAGATAAAATCAAAATTTTCAAATTCAAACTTATTTTAATAGAATTTGCCAACTATACATATATTTTACCTAGGTGAAATGTTGTTAGAGATCTTGAACATCAAAGTTCACACATTGTTACACGTAATATGTAAATAAAAGTGGTAAATTTTCAAGGTAAACAGATTCTTTAGCTTTTCCCTAATATCTCTCCAACTATATCCGTGCGATAAGTGGCTTAAAGATAAAGACTTGGTAAAAACATGAGACTATATATATCCCCTACAAAATGTTACTGTATTACAAAACCATACAATTTGGCTTGGCTTGTCTGTCTTGATGTTAATTTAGGTTTCTTTACATGCAATAAAAGTATTACTGTGAAACATCAAACATTTATCAATATTTTTTTCTTTTTTTGGGGGGAAAAAACTTCTTGCAAGGATCTTGTTCTTCATTAATACAATGGCAGATGATAAAGCTGAAGGGAACACACAAGAAGTAGTGGAAGTGCCAATAGCTGAAGAGAACCCTGCTGATGCTGTGGTGGTTGTCAAGAACGAACCTAAACCAGCTGAATGCCCGAAGAAAAGTGTTATTCCAGGGAAATTCTTTCAAACGAAACGCATTTCGGGTTTGTTATCCGTTGTTTCGTTTGTTTTCTCACTTCCGGTCCTTTCGTCCGTCATCTGGCTGCTATACATGAAGAGTTACGATTGTGAATCGCTGTTCAAGTTGCCAAAGTTGCAGACCGGGATCAGTGTCGGCTTGATCTGTGTCTTCTTCGTCTGCAATGCCACTCTCTTCTTAAGAGATCGGCTAAAGATGGTGGGGATTGTGTTGGTTATGGTACCCTTGACGGTGATGTTCACCGTCGGTCTCGCATTCCTCGGGGCTGACAGCATGGAAAACAGAAGGATCCCCGCTACACCGCTGTGGTTCGAGATGAAAACTCATGACGACAACCTTTGGAGCAACATCAAAAGATGCATTTATGACGCCGGCATTTGCCATGATTTAGCCTTACATCATGGAGCTCAAATCATGATTTCAGTATGAAGAAATTATCAGCCGTAGAGGTATCCATCATCATTTTACGTATATCGTTGATATATCTTTGTTTTGGTGATAAATTCTGATCCTGGTTATACTTGATTTGTGCATTAGTCTGGATGTTGCAGACCACCTGCAGAGTGCCCGTTGCAGTACGTGAATGCTACCTATTGGGAAAGAAAGATAAGACAGAAAACGAATCCAATCCCGATTGTAATGTATGGAAGAACACAAGGACGGCTTATGCTACGATTGCTTAGCCTGTCGACAAGGTTATATGAAAGCTTTGCAGAGCAATGGTTGAAACTTGGAGTGTTTCTGGTTTGCATGTCTTTACTACTTATCAGTTCTCATTGTGTCTATTTCTGGTAACAATGTGGGAGCTCTATATATCTTAGAGCAAAGCTGAAGGGCTTATACATTTTCCGTTTTCCATTACCGTTTTCTTCTCCTCCATGGTTAGGACATTATTTGGTGATTTTTAGCTGCCTACACTCCTAATAATGTTATGTTGTAGCCATCATTTTCTTGTACAAAGCTTCCCCATTTTCCCTATTATTGTTACAAGAATTTCTTCTTCGAAACGTTGCCATCCACATGGTCATATCTCGACAAGATTAATCTTTTCTTAAAACGGATAGTCGAGATACACTAGAGGAGAAAGTGAAATAGATTAAATGGTTTCAGAACATAAAACCAAACACCTGACCAGCAAAAGGTCACTTCAAATTGGATGCAAGAAGAGATGGTAAGGTATCCTAGCAAGATCAAATTTGCAATATGCAAAGGAGCAAAAGTTGGGAAATAACTCATTAACAAAGCACTCAAATTAATAATGCTAATGATAATAATACCATGCATGTCCTCTTCTGATTGCTTTAGACACAAGGAAAGACCTAGGGTTTTCTTCACCTTTCTCCTACTCTAAAAGCCTTACACAGTTTATAGTGCAATGGGTACAAGACCCTAATTTGAGGGTAATATGGAATGACCATATTGGATCTGCAGTGCTTTATCAACTGCTGACAACAATTTAACGGTGTAAACCTAACAATCCAGTGTAACCTAATTAATTCACCGTCTCCCATACTGGGTCGATGCAAGATTGATTATGGGCATCATACGTAACAGCTTTCAAGGCAACTTCTTCTTGTTTACCTCTGATCACTAGTTGACAGCTTGACCACTAGTTGCAGCAGTAGCAGCCGGAACATTGGTACTACTACCATATGGGATCATGCCCTCTGCTACGCCAGGACCCATCTGCATTACAGGCCGACCGTAGCCATCAAAATAGGTGGTGCTACCTTGAAAAGGCAGTACATATGAAGGATCGGGATTCATGTAACCACCCGCATATGGTATCACTCCTATTGGTGCTACACAATACAACATCAGTGCAAGTGTTAGAAGAGGGAAACGAAGAGAGAAAAATAAAACCAGAGTGCCATGTACCATCTATACAGGAAAGGAAAGTTACCGGGCACAGTCTTCTCAGCACTTGAGACTACAGCACGTAACTTTTCAACTTCTTTTGCCATCCCGATCAGATTCTTCTCCATAGCTTGCATTTGCTCCACCTGCTCTATGTTTGACCTTTTTTCATATTGAAATGTAACACTACGTATAAAAGAGATCAAAATATAATCAGAGCCAACTTCTTAGGAACTACATGGTAGAAAATACCACAAATTAAAAATTAAAACAGAGAGATCTTGAAGTAAGCAACATTTTTATTTTGCTCACTTGAATATTTGCATGACTTATGAGTCCGAGTTCCGAATAAATTTGTGGTAATCATTAATCAATATAAAAATTTGGTTCCTTCCCAACCACATTAGAACCACCTCCATCCATTGATTACTTAAACAGCATTCCACATTAAAGCTGCAGCATGGGGAAATAATAACAAAAAAAGCATGTTTAAGCAAGCAATTTATTAACAAGTGCAGTTTAACATTCAGATAGAGAAAATAAATCATATTTACAAGAAATGGGTTCCTACATGAATTTGAATAATCAAATGCAGTGCTTAGTCCTGTGGTATTATTTCATAACGAACACCATTAGATTAATGATGACACATTTGACCACAATAACAGCAAATATTGCAACAAAAAATTCAGTGATGAAAACTTGGTTTCAGACACCAAGAAACAAAATGATTTGTTTGACTCACCGTAATCTCTGGTTATCTTTCCTCAAACCTTCAAGTTCATCCTGTAACTCTGGAAGAGACTTAACATCATCCCGAGTTTTCGCCAACTCCTGAGAGGCTTGTTGAATTTGGATGATTAACACTTGTCTGGCTTTGACTAAACTTTGTGCCTCGAAGAGTGCCTGTTGCAACTCCATTTTCACACTCTCACCAACCCGAATATCTGCTTCCATTTTTGCAATCTTTTCCTATAGAACCCTGATCTGAATATCACTCTCATTCTGAATGCTTCTTATGTGTTCCTTGAGTTTCTGCGCTTCATGCCGAACAGCCACAAGGTCCTCCTTCAAGGCGACATGGCGAGCTACCAATCTGTGATTGTCTACAGCAAGTTGCTCAAGTTCTGCAGCCTGAGAAGCAATCTTGTTCTCTAAAAGCTCAGGTCGAGGAAGTGGCTCCAAAGCCCCGCGAGCAGGAGGACCTGAGCCAGCAAGTGAACCATGTCGAATTGCACCTGGAGCCTGGATGGAACGTCCCTCATACGCTGATCTGATTTTTCTAGAATCCATCTGTCCAAGAATCCACTAAGACTATGTCACACGTAAATAGTAAAACCTCAGTCACAGAAATGAAGACCACGTATATGATAATCTAGTAAAGAAAATACCCTGCTACCACAACAAATTTTTGAAGCATCAACTATCAGTACCCCAAACTACAACCAAATTGTATATAGAGAAGCCCCAATACAGGTTGCAGAAGGAAGAATATCGTTCAAACTACACCCAATGAAAGAAAAACTACAACAAAATTGTATTCTCTTTTTTTTCCTTTTTGTGTCTTCTTTAACTATTATTGGATGAATTTAACTCAATAATACATCTAGAAAAACAATTTAACTAAGCTCCGTTCAACAGATTAATTCAAATAAAGAACAATTTGGCAAGGAAAATATATCCTTTCCATGTGCAATTTACAACATGATAAACACAGAATTTCAAATGTTGGTTGTTTAGAAAAATAATACAAAGCATCATTAAAACAGAAATAAACTATGGTTCTCACCAGGTGGAGTCATATACATGCATCATTACTGAAGATAATTTTTTCAAAAGATACCATATCAATAATATTAACTTGATTTCTCTAATTACAGCAATTTTTCAATAACTACCCTTTTCTTCTATCATATGTGGATTGATTAGTGGCTGCAATACTCTAGTAAAATGAAAAACTAAACCTGGTCGTAACAATTGAAGCCAAAGGGGTAAATTACAAAACCACCTCAGAATGTAGAAAAACTGCCATTAACACCTCAAATCTTAGGAGTAACATGAAACAGGCATTGACCTATTACCTTTCTACACACATTTTTAAGCCCAATGACAATTTCTTGAAGATACGAGGAAAATCGTTTGATAATGACCTTAAAGGGGATTTTATCATGCGACTAACAGTAAAAATAAACACAACTATAAATGAAAGGAAACATAAGATCATAAAAGTTAGATTTTTCCTGAAAAGAAGACTATAGGATAAATCCAGTATGAAGTAATACCAATTGCTGGAGAAAAACTATGGAAAATGCTCATTTTGTCTCAACAATCGTCAAAACATATCATACAAAGAGAGAAATTTTTATGGCATCCTACACCATCACAAACCTGCCTTGAGAGTGGTGCCACTGAAATGAAATGAAAATCTAAATCAAATTTATAGTCGGTTAATGTTCTGACACACATCTATGAACAGCATCCCAGACAAAGCCAACAGTTAAAGTTTCAAATACAAGTATCTTGCTGATTACTTAATCAGTTATTCCTCCTAAATATAAATTTTCTCCACAACTCCTCCAATGTCAAACTCGTTACACTTAGCTCAAGAAAAGTACAACATTAAGCACAACAGTAGTTATCAATCGATTACAATTTTACATTTATCTATAACTGGAAAGAACGAATTTGAAAGGAATTTTCTAAGTGTTTTCCTTTTCCAAAGTTCTAAATTGTAACTTAATTATGTCTCTATATATACAGGAGATAAAATGGGTTGAACGTGTAAAACCTTTTGATGAAGAGAATTATTGAATAAGTATGATTGAATAGATGCAATTTTAAATAAAAAATTAAGTCTATTCACCAAGTGATATGACGTATTATTAATAAGTCCATTCACTAAGTGATGTGACTTATTATAAATAACATCAATTTTATTCAATTAATTGTTATTTTTCCAACATATTTTTTAACATACAATAATCTCATCTATAAATTTAGTAAGTAGTGTAGTTTAACCTTTAAATAAAACAATTCATAATGATACCATATCAATTTTCTCAAAAGTGTGTAAAACAATAAATTTATTTATGGTTACAATGTTTACAATGAACCCTAATCTTCCTGCATACACAATACTCAAAATCTTAAAATATATTAATAATTTTCTTAATTATTAAGGTCGTTTGGTTCGTACGAATTTTAAACGTTATTTAAGTTGTATAATTATTCAAATTATCTTTGATCACCAATAAACAAAGCCCGCACTGATGGATGCTGGATCCACTATATGGTCTAATGGGTCGGCAGGTTTTAGACAGTTGTCATGAAGGAGTTTAAGAGCTAAAGATCCCATGTAATTTGGCAGCTTTCTTAGCCACAAGGTTTGCTCGGAGAAACCACATCATCATTTCCACTTCTATCTCCTTCAACCTCAATTGCTTTAACACGTTTCATATTCACACCCTTACTTGCCACCAATATTTCAATGCTCAGCCGCTATAAATAGCTTCAACATTTTCTCTCCTGATTCACCCCTTGATTTCTGAGTTCATACCGAGTAAAACTGTACTCAATTTAACTTCTTTTCCAAGGAAGCATCTTCACTTTGTGAGTTGTTCCATTGACGATGTCTTCTTTCAGGTTTACAGCTCTTATGATTGCTCTGCTTGTTGCCATGTCAGCTTGTGTATCTGAGAGCCGGGTTGCGAGAAAAGACCTTGGACTGGACCTTGGAGGTATCGGACTTGGGGTTGGAGCTGGGATAGGGATTGGCTTGGGAGGAGGAGGTGGTTCAGGATCAGGAGCTGGGGCTGGTTCTGGTTCTGGTTCTGGTTCGGGATCGTGGGGTTCAAGTTCAAGCTCTTCATCAAGTTCAGCCTCTTCATCCAGTTCATCTGGTGGGTCCTATGCAGGTTCTGAAGCTGGTTCATATGCCGGGTCTCGAGCCGGCTCTGGTGTAGGTTCTGAAGCTGGTTCATATGCTGGATCTCGAGCTGGGTCAGGCCGAGGCCGAGGTAGAGGCAATGGCAACTAAAAACGAATGATTGGAATCAAATAATAAAGGATGAAACTGATCAGCACCTTGCATGCATGAACAAGTGTGGTGATGAATAAGTAGTAGTTTTCTGTTATTCATATGTAATATATATATATATATATATATATATAATAAAGCGGTATTATTCTCTAAAATAACTATTGTGATCATGCAAACATTGTTTTAGTTCATGAAATTATCCCGAATAAATCATTTATATTTAGAATTATATAATCATTGAAAGTCCTAATAAGAGATATACTTTATTTTGACTATCTGAAATAAGTTGATATAATTTATTTTCACTATTTATATTCTAATGGAACATTGAGATAAAAATGATCAAATTATGTGAACCGATAAAATCTTTAGAGATCATAAATATTTTATAAGAATAATATATATTTATAACAAGATTATTGGATAATAAAGAACTAAATTTTTTATAATTTTATACAAATAGAAGTTCGATCATGATACTTCAACCAGATGATTATATTATCTAAATAATTATGTAATTTATAGATGAAGAGCTAAAATTTAATTCCATATCATTTTAGTTCATATTATATATGTCTCTGTTAGCTTATTATAACTCTAAAACGACATGCACGTCAAATCAAGAAAGGATGGATAATTAAGGGTGAGAAACATATCATGGAATTTATTTATTTATTTATTTATTTGAGTTTTCTTGATAAAAAGGAAATGATTTAATTATTCTAAATTATTAAATAATTAAGTGAATAATTAAAATAATAAACACCATTTTTTATTTTATAGAGTTGATACCAAATAGTAGCTAATACGATAAAAGTGATATGATTTTAATAGAAGTAGAATTAAATTATTTTAAAAAATATTTAATTATAAAAAATAATTTTATCACAATTAGTTGTATTTAATTATGAATCAAAATTAATTTGAACTCTTAATTAAGTTGCTATGGGCTTGAAGTTTGATGCTAAAGAGAAATTAAAAAAGAGGCTTGGAGCATGAAGGCCCAACCCTAAGCTTATGTTGGCAGTAAAAATACACAATATTCCATGGAGTAAGATGGAAAGGATAACCTAAGCTTCTTCTCATCTTATTCTACCTTTCCCTGGTAAGTCTCTTCTTTTCTTTTCCTCATCTGCCCATTGTGTTTCCTTTTTTGTCATTGTACTGCTTTTGATGAGAATATTTGTATGTGTATCTCTAAACCTACGCATCTCCCGATGTTGGACAGAAATAGGTGTAATTTTAGATCCCTTGAGCTTGAAAAAGCTGTGTTTTTTTTTCTCCTAATATTCCATGGTTTCTGTGAGATCCTTGCCTGCAATTTGGGCTTTCAATCATCGCAGTCTCCAAGACGAAACACTATACATTCGTTTCAACGTGAAAACAGATGATGGGTTATTTTTCAAGTCCAGGATTAGGTGGATCTAGAGATAGATCGAATGGGTTTTGGGTGCTGTCGGTGTGTATTTTCCAATATCGGATATTGTTCGATCCAAAATTTAAGATTTCAAAAAATTTACATCACTAAAATTAATATATGGATTTGATCAGAAAAAATTAGATATCCGATCTAATTATTAACACATAATAAGAAATTAAATATTTTAATTTTTATTGGACTAGAGCCTTAAGGAGTTAGTAGATTATTCACTTTTTTGGCTAAAGGATATTTGAATTCTAAGGGTGTGTTTGGTTCACGGAATGTAAGATTACCAGTGAGAATAAAAGATTATCAGTGAAAATAAAAGATTATCAGTGAATAGGATTACTGGGAATGTTGTTTTGTGTTTGGTTGGTTTAGCAGGAATATAAAATTACCGTGTTTGGTTAAAAGAATAAAAGATTATTGAAATGTATATTTGACCAAATTGTCCTTATTATATATTTGTATAATATTACAAATTGTAAAATATTTGTATATTTTTTTAAAAAAATTAAATTCATAATATTTATATAATTTTTTTTACAAAATTAAAAATATAAAAAATGTTTAATGAAAGGGTAAAAAAATTTTAACTCTGAACTTCATATAAAATTTTAATTATAGATTTATTTTGTAAATTTAAAATAATTTAAGGATAAATTTATAATTTAACTTTCGTAGAATTTTTATTATTCAATGACAGAAGAAGGATATTTTTGAAAAAAAATAAAAATTTAAGGGCATTTTAGTTCAAAATGCCGGTAATGTTACAATACCTAAGGAAAAGGAAGTAAAGACATTCCTAGTAATATACTCTAAAAAATCTACTATTGGTAATAAACATTACCAGGAATGAGATTCCAGACCAATCAAACATGAGAATGTATGATTCCCACCCCATGAGAATGTAGGATTCCCACCCCATGAGAATTCTACAATACTTGAATCAAACAACCCCTAAAAGTCTAATTTTTATCAGATTTTGAGATCCGAAATTGAAATTTAGGTGATCTATATAGGATCCAATTACCCTTTTTTCGGTTATTTAATATGAATAATTCAAAAATAAAAAAAAAACGGATTGGATATTGGAATTTTCAGATCAAATCAATTGATGTATCAAATTGATCGGATTGAGGTTTTTTGCACGCTTCTGGCCATGACCACCAAATATTTTAGATTATCGCATAGTTTAGATATTTATTTATATTTTTAATTTAATTTTGTATCTCTGAAATTTTATAATTTTGCATTAAAACCTCTCATATATCCTCTATAAGTTCATATCATTGATATAAAATCATGCGTACATCTGTCCCAAGTGGAACCTTAAACCTGGTTTGACATGCTATGATGCAATATTGGTGGATTCGTTAAACAAAAACTCATAGTAAGGCTTTGATTATCTTTCAAGATATGTTTGAGATTTGAGCCAAACTTTACTTTTAGTTCTTTAGCCAGTGGGAAGAAGCAAAACGATTATTAACCGACATCAAGGGAAATTCTTTAAGTGCCCTCTTTTCCAGGATGTGAAGATCCAAGAAGCAATATTTCTAGTGGATTCAAACACCCAAAGAGGCACAAAGCCTGATTTGTCACTTTGCTAATCATCATGCCTTTTGCAAGTTTGGTGAGTGAATTGCACAGCCCATGTATTAAACAACTGTAGGTGACAATGTCTGATTTTAGGTCTAATATGGTAATTGCCTCTTTGGTCCCTTTTTTTCCTTGCATAAAGCCATTGATAGAGAATTGATTACTTACTACATTAGAATGGACATGCAGAAGCAGCAAGCCTGCACTACATAAGTGTTCAATGAAGGTGTCCATTCTAATGTTGTAACTTGCATTTCTTTGATCAATGCTTTGTACAAGTGAAAGAGAGCAAAAGAAGCCGTTACCGTGTCTGAACTAATGATTCAGAGATACATAGAACTTGAAATTGTCGCCTATAGTTGTTTAATAAGTGGATTGGTGCAATTCAGTTAAAATGTGCAGAAACAACAAGCTATGTTTAGTGAGATGTTGGATGAAGGTTTACTTCCTGATTGTGGAAACTTTGAACTTTTTCATCGATGCTTTATGCGAGAAGAAGATGATTGAAGAAGCTGTTATCTTGTTGGACACAAACGCTTTAGAGATTTAAAACCCGAGATGATCATTTGTTGTTGTCTAATACATAGATTATGCAATTCTGGCCTTGTGAAGAAGCAACAAGGTAGCTTAGCAAGGTAGATTAATTGAAATCTTTCATTTTTGTTTTGTTCTTTCAGTTTATTTTTTCATGGATACTCCAGAAATGGAGATTAATTGATTACATATTGGATGTTATTGTTAGTCCAATATGCAGACATTATGTCACTTTGTTTACGAGGTGCATTCATAAGATTTACAGTCTCTGTATGGGTGTGAAAAAAATTCGATCGGGTAATAAATATCAGTTTATTCGATGGTTCAATCTGAAAATTCAAGTATCTGATTTATTTTTTATTTATTCAAAAAGTCTTAATAATCGGATAATAAATATAAGTTTATTTTTTTTAGGATTGAATTTGATATCGTCACGGTTATTCAGGATGACATTTATTTGTTATTATGTTATCTTTTCTGCTTTGAACTCTCAAATTTGATTAGGATACGTAACTTGCGTTCGTTGATATTTTTTACATTGTTTTACTCTGGTTTAATAGCTTGATTGCTTCTGTGATTTGTTTGTCTATGTGGTCAGATCTGTTCGTATTTATTTTTTATTCGAGTTTATTTGGTTAGATCAGATCTTTGTATAATCTTAAGTCATTAGTTTCTAGTATTATTGATCATAATAAAATTCTTATTTTGTATTTAATTTACAATTATAATTATAAATTTTCATTATAATTTAAATATATTTTGTTTTAATAAAACTAACCACTTTTATAAAAGATATACTATCAAAATTCAATTAAAACTTAATATCTCATAACGTAAAATCCACTAATAATCAGTAGTTTCGAGAATAAATTTATGATATGAAAATCACAAACATTGCTTTTTAGGATGAAAACGCGTGTCAAGTGAAGGTGAGTTGATGAAACAGCAGCGGCGTCAGCAAAGCCGCGTGGATTTGGCCGCGTATTGCTATTTTGACTTGGTGCTTACCCTGCTCGGTTGTTATCATGAAAATAATGCTGGCTTAGCTTTAACGCGATCAATTCTCATTTTAACATTTCCATTTTCTTACCTTCAACTCCTCATTATAATCAAGTTTTTAAGACACGCCTCCAATTCTATAAGATCCTTATATATTATTAATTAATCAACTGAATAAATATTATATTATAATTACTTAAATATTAATAATTTAATAATTCACATTTAAATAATATAAACTACTCAAATGTCACTAAATCATGTGCATAAATCAACAATGGTTGTTATGAATGAAAAACAATGATCAACGATCACTAACCAACAACAATGGTTGAAAGAATGAGAATGATCTGCATAAATCAAAATAATATGTAAACTAAAACTATGTGATTAAAAATAAAACATTTTGATGTTTTGAAGGATTTAATGTGTATATTGAAGTTAAAATTGGATATTACTATGAATTGGACGCGCCGGTAAGGAAAACGTGTACAACGCTTTATAGTGATATTAACTTCACAGTGACCTCCACACATTCATTATTGGAGAGAGCTTTCTTCCCTTCATCACTACAACTTCTCCATTCTCCATTTCAACCTTATCTCCAACTTCA